TGGTCCCATTCTTCCACGCAACGCCCATAGGCTTATGTAAAAATGCCACATCAAAGGTTGCACGGTGCCCGGTGCCCTCCCGTTCCGCCGCCTTCGGGCAGACCTAACAATCATACTGACGAATAGAAGGACACAGAACGTCAATCATCAACTATCACAGAAAGCCAAAAGGCTAGCAAAGCAGACACGCACACGCAAGCAAGATGAAATGCAGATAGGTAGTTTGCTAGGAATTCCAGGTGACACCTTGCCATCTAACACCCCCCCCCCCTTCATGGTAATCACCCTGAGCCAGTATCCCGTCGTTCAGCGTCGCCCCGATATGTGGCTCACCTGGCGTCTGTGGTGCGGTATCCCTCTCCGTCCTCCCTTACATGGTACGAGCCGTCCACACTGTGCGCCTGATCCACCTGGGATATGGGAGGTGGGTCAATCAGTTGGCTGATCGAGACTGACTGCATATCATACCAGTATGTTCAATAAGTAAGTTCCGTTTTGATATAACTCGTTTATTTTTTGGCACATCTCAACCAAACATGGCTCACGGCTCGACGAACTCGCCCTGCAGGCGAACGCATCGTTCCCATCGCTTGGCCAGGTCCCGGATGGCCGCACGGAAGCTTTGAGTGAGGGTCTTTTCGCCATACTGGTAAAAAGCAGACCCGAGTGCAGACCGCGAGCCGGACCTCCGGCCCCGGATATTTTATTCATGTCTGCGAGCAGCCAATAGTCACTGCGTGCAACGTCTGGAGAGTAGGGATGGTATTAGAGCACCTCGATGCCCTCTGCCTGCAGGGCATCCCTCGCCACGAGGGCACGGTGAGGAGGCGCGCAATCCTGGTGGAGGATGAACCGACCACGGGCCTTCTCGGGGGCGGCAACTGGCGATTACTGGCAGGAGATGGTCTCTAATGATCCTGGCGTAGGCTTATGTTTAGGCTTTCTGTTATCGCCTGGACAGTAATCTTTCTGTTGGCCATCACCATCTCCTCCACTTTGGCGACGTCAGTAGCTGTGACCATCGTCCTCAGCCTGCCTGCACGTGCCAGGTCGCGCACGCTCTCCCTCCCGGCTCCCCTCCCCAAAATTTTTCTTCCGCTTCCGAACTGCGGAATCACTAAGAGCATGGCTCCCGTACACATTCACGAAGTTGGCGTGGATGTTAGCCGCCGGCTAGCCCTGGATAGCTAGGAATCTTATCACTGAACGTTGATCCTCTCGGGTGGCCGATGCCATTTCTAAAGCAGTCTAAAAAGTGATGTTATTTGATCTGCTCCATATCGTCACAGAAATGGAATAAGAAGCTGAAAATGCGGTCACTTCGACATCAAGGTCTGAATTCTAATCCCTGAAAAAATCGCGTGCGTAGACCGCGTGAATTTTATGTAATTGCTCTCCGGAACTTACTTATTGAACGCACCTAGTACATGAGTTATCGTTTGTTTGGCGTGACATTGGAAAACTACTTTTCAAAGGAACGAACTTTCATTAATCAAAACAAACATTTACCAAGCATCTGAATTGTTTAGAAACTTACTTTAATTCCTGAATTAAGAAAAAAGAACTAAATCATGATAAACGAATGACATTTCGAAGATTCTTTTTTTTTGCAAAAGATAAAACAAACCATCATATGAGTAACTCTACTGACGTCATGTGAGTAACTCTGCTGCATGTTATGTGATAAGCGTTTAATTTGCCCACTCACTTTCACAGTACCGTCCTCGACAGACGAGCCATCCGCTGAGTCTTCTTCTGTCCCTGCCTCCTCCACGGGAAACGGTATGAACTCTGACACCGGCGCATCATCCCCGGCCGGCTCCTCTTCAGATCCACTCCCTTCCACTGCTGCTTCCTCGACTTCTTCCGCTTCAACTGGTGCTTCCTCCTCTTCTACGGGATCTTCAGAACCACTTTCTTCAGTGACTTCTTCCTCAGAGGAGGCGTCATCACCCTCCTCGTGTGCTCCGGTATCCACAAGATTCTCCTCCACATTCTTGGAGCGTTGAGATGGGGGCAGGTAGGAGCTCTCGAGGGGAGGTAAATACGAGAGATCCGGAGGCTGGAACGGTTTGGTCGGAGGCAGGTAGTTGAGGTTCAGCTCGGCGATTGGAGCGGCGGAGGCGGTCACCAACACCGCCGCTGCTAGAAGTATCGTGAGCTGGAAAATTGATGTAGAGGTCAGTTGTCAGGTTTTAAAAATTGGCCATGCCAAGAGCCATGCCATGCTAATCTGATGGTAAATTACGGCGCCAGGGATCGACTTTAAGACGATTTTAAATATGAATCTGAATCTGAAGAAAAAATTACGATTGATGCTTAAAGCAGTCTGAAATAAATGTAATAAGGATGTGCAAAAGAAACGAGTTTTTGTGTTTCAATAAACACATTTTTTTATAACAAGTTTTGTAATTTGCGCGCAAATATTAAAGGTAGTGTGCCAGCTTTCCTGGACCGTATGGAGTTAATGGCCCAGATAAGGAGAACCGGATTTTTAGAACTTATCCATACCTTCAAAACTCATGGAAGCGTCTTAAATTCTTCAAATTTTGAGTACCCCAGTGCGAAATTCGCCCCGACGGGTTGTCGGTCGTACCCCAACCACATTTCACACCACTATGAACAATAAATGCACACACTGAAATCGCTATTACCGATATGCTCATCCAATCAAGTTTCGGTAAACCCGTTCATCATCATCTCCTGCGGTTTCGAACACGCCTGTTAGGTGGTGCGGTAGACCGCGCCCAAAGCCAGGGCCCCGTTAACGTGAGGTAGCCGAGTCGGGGCAGCGTGTGCTGACCCAAGCCGGGGCCGCGCGTCCTCCCGGTGTCATGTGATAGCCCGGGGCTGCCCGCGGGGATGCGGTAGACCGCGCCCAAAGCTGCGGTCCCGGCTTGGGTCAGCGCACGCTGCCCCGACTCGGCTACCTCATGTTACCGGGGCCCTGGCTTTGGGCGCGGCTTCTGCTCGTACTTTGTGGTGCGGTGGTGGCGCGTCGGGCCGCGCGCTCTGACTTCGGCCAAGAAAAATGCGTCAGCTGATCATTGTCATTTCTGCCACTTGCGTGTGGTGAAATGGGGTCATAACTTAAGAGACGGCTTTTTCATATCAATTATTTTACATAAAATCATATTTCAAAGTAAACCATAGATAATGTTCGACAGCCAAATAAAAGAAACAATACCAATACAGGCTTACAGTTTAAGGCTCGACATTGTGTTGTCTACGATTAGACAGCTGATGACTCATTCCCATACGTCGTAACTCTATAATGACCTTTGCTTATTGTCACATGTGCGCCGCATTCGCGATTGTTGCCGACGCCTGTTTACAGGTCAGCCCACTACAGTTGTTATACATATCGAAAAACCGATAAACTTTTAGGCGAAAAAGGCACTATTCCAGGCCCATTTTTGATTTTTTTTGCGATATTAGGTAAAAACAGAAGCTTCTTACCCTAGGAAAAATAAAATGGGAAATCTTTCAAAGGTGGCACACTACCTTTAAATAGTTTTTAAACACCTGCATGACTCAATAGAGAGACAATTAAAGTTCGAATAAAAGCAGTAATCATTTGATATCAAGAATATGCAACATTAAAAAACAATATTACAATTCGTACAATTAGGTTGTATAGCACCTACCTTCATCCTGCCGGGTCCCCTGCTTGCGAGTCACTGATGGCTTTTGCTCCCCAAAAACTGGTTTTATACTTCCACTCATCTCGCAATGGGTAAGAGGGGAGCGGACTGGCCCCCGTCAGTTGGGTAAGGGGCGGGTGCACTGTGTCCCCTCACTGGGTCACACCCGGGTCCTCCGTGAGGGGAGCACTGGCCACCGGCCGTGACCTTGGTGTGTTTGTAACGACTAACGGCACCCATACCTCGGGTTTCATGAGAGGACTTTCACTGTTGGTGGCTTACACTGGTGGATCAGGAGGGCACACGTGCACCCAAGCGACGTAAAAAAAAAATGCTCGCAGGGTTTGATGCGAGCAAGAGCTCATGTATTCGAACCGGCATATGATTCTGAGACTGCCAAAAAGAGTCGGCGTTTCCACCTCCAGAAGCATCAAATACGAGGGGATATGAGGAAAATGAACCCAAAGAAGTTATACGCCAATGAATAGATAATAAACTCTGACACAAACAATAAATATTAAATAGTATTGACGGGGAAATGGAAGGGACTGTTGTCTTTTGCGAGCATTTACTCACTGCATAATCCCATTGCAGACTTCGCAATGCCTAACATGAAATCAGGAAACTACACCTCCTCTAATAACGTCTGGCGTCCCCCTCACCAAATCTGAGCCATCAGTCGAGCCACGTTACCCAAGAGTCACCTTATCCCCTGACATATCTCCACGCCATATCCTTACCGTGTCAGTGACACTCTGGTGTCAGTGTCAGTGTTACCCTCATCACTGAAAGGCGTGCCGCGTGGTTTACTCAAGGACAGCCACCTCTTGGAAATCACAGTTATAGTTCTCCGACTGCACGTCAGCGCATGGGACGGTGAAAGGGAAGGAGAAGGAGCTATCTTTTCGCCCTTTTCTTGGGCGAAGCGTGGATGGGGCGCTAATGAGAATCAACGGCTGAACGAGGACAAGACAATAGAAGGCATGGAGTGATTTTAATGAGTGGGCCGGAAATTATTACTCGAGACACAAAGTCTTAAACTTTTAAGCATTGACCTCTGTACATCGATTACCGACGTCAGAGGTCTTTAGGTGGTATACAGGTGCCGGTGGTCTTGGTGCTATACAAGGCCGGTTTATATAGCTTTGTCTTTTTTATACGGGCTGAATCGAGGGTGAAATAGGCTGTCTTGACGGTTACCTTTTACCCTACTCTCCACCCACTATTATCTTTGTGGACCCCGGCCTAAAGAGTTAATTCACACATGCAAGTAGGTATGTGACAATAAAAACAAGATCGACATTCAACACTACGCTTGTGGAATCTCTCCCCCTCCCCGGCTGCCGTAAGGTGGGGCTATTTGAGACAGTGGGGCTATTTGAGACAGTATTTAAAATTGCTATAAAATAAAAACCACTTAAAATTTATGATTAATTTTTTGCTCAGGCGATTTACTGCTCGATCCCACACCTCCCTGAGCAAAAATATCACACAAAAATCAAACCATCTTCATTTTATAGCGATTTTAAATACTGTCTCAAATAGCCCCACTGTCTCAAATAGCCCCACTTTACGGTGTTCCCAACCGTGCCCCTCCCCACCCCATCTACTTCTGACACTAGGTCGGGTCGTGCATTCCCAGGGCTCGGCAGGCTCTTATGGAGTCCGTCTGACCAGCCAATGTCCAGGTGTTGTGTAACCACGGCCTAGAATTGCCACGGCGGTAGCGAGCGGTTTCTTTTTGTGCGTGTCAAAAGAAGCATGTAATGAGTGCTTGCTCTGAGTGGTTTTGTAGTGGTCAGGTTTGAGTTATTGAATTTGACGGTAACAGTTGTTGGTTATTGAAGGCCTTCTGTCGGAATATATGTAGTGTGAGCGATTCCTGCAACCATAGCTGCAACACACCAAGAATACATCAATGGGAGAGATTTAGAGCTTTGCGCGATCAATAAAAGCATGAGTTGCAATTCAGTACCTATCTAATGGTAACTTTAACATCACTTTGAAATTAAAAATGCCCTAATGCACGCTACCATGCATCTTATGTAAAAATGAATGAATATAAAAATGCAATAATTTATTTCAACTTTGCATCTTTTTAACTAACATCGGCTAAAATCACGATTCACTTTTAACTTTTCCCATTAACCGCGATTCCTCCCTGACAACCTGATCGGAACTCAGAGAAAGCCAGGGCATCTCCCCAGTCTGTCGGCTAAATTGAGCGTGTCGCAAAATGTCCGGTATCATCAACATCAGCCTGTCAGGGAGGAGAGAAGCGACCCAGGTGGGTCCAATGGACACTGACTACCACCAGAGTGGATCATCGACTAGAAGAAAAAATAGGCATGGAGACGTAACCATGTGGAATGTCTATTAGCACTGTACGTGAAGACGCACAGTGACAATAAACACTTTCAATAGATACTTTAAAAAATCAAAATAAATATAATAAAAATATATATTATAAAAAATATATAATAAATTTCAATAAATACTTTAAAAATATGAGCAGGTTGACTCGACAGTGGAAGACTGGAAGATGAAGATGTGAACGTAGGCTCTGAAATATGGTGGCAGATTTATCGTAGTCGTCAATCAAGGTCATCTAAACAATAGATATTTCGTATAAAAGTTATCAACTACACAGCTCCAAGTTACAATAATACCCATGGCACCACAACCAGACCAACTATATCATTGGTGACATCTGTCAGATGTCTCCAGTAATCGATGGATAACAGATATATTGGTCCAAGCCGGGCCATAACGGACTCGGACTGAAGTAACATGGCCGCAATGTTGTCGTTTGCTGCCACAGTTATAGTGTGTTCTAGTTCGAACGCCAACTGGCCTCTAATACAGCCACAAGATGAGCCGTGGTCTTGTTACGTCAGCACCGAGGCTGTCCAAAGAAGGTCGGGCGTCGCCACAACGCACATGTTTTGTTCATGTGAGGAGTTTGTAGTTGGTTAGGAGTTGGGTAATATGTTTGGTGTTTACCTAAGGTCATGTCACACCGTTCCGTGCTTCTAAATACCTCAGGATACTGAAATCCTTCTCCTCCACGCCGCAACCCCCTCCGGGTTGGACAGGCACCTTTATCTCATGCGGGCTGCTCCCTTGGAGCGGCACCGCTGCTCCCGAGGGAGCGCACCCCGTAGCCGGGTGCAGAGAGTTCTTGGGGGGCTGGTCGGCCTGTCCATTTGGACGGGCTCAGCCCCGGCGACTCTCTATAAGGGTGCCTGCCCACACCAATGTCTCCCCCTAATTCCTATCATCCTTCCGGCTCTGCAATGGTCTTGTCAGACCGAAAGGGCCTAACCCAACAAAACAAACAAACAAACAAACAAACAAACAAACAATAAGGACATGTCAATGAGACAGGCAGCCGCCGCCCGTACCAGCTCCCGTACCCACTCCCGCCGCAGCCGGTACCTCCTCGCGCCGCCGCCGCCCGGGGCGTCTCCAAGCCGCTGACCCCGAATTTCACTAGCCCACTTCCAGCGGGCTCGACGTCGCACCGGCGATCCGGGCCGTCTGGCAACCGCCCGCCAGTCATCTGGCAACTCGAGCTTGGCGTCGCGGGTTGGGCGGGGCGTGACATGCCAAGAAGTGACTTTGGCGAAATAGCCTCATGACTTATCAAGTTCAACAACTGCATAACAAAATGCGAAAACCACAGACCACTTTGATATTGTACGATTGTTCCAGCGTTGGTCTGTAACATAATTTACCCTCAATACCGCCTAAAAAATACTTTTGATTGGACGAGAATAACGCACACGTGTGACGTCATGCTCTGCGCGTGCGTCCGACGATGCCCAGAGGGCATGCAGAGAAATACGCCAGGGGCCACTGACGACCTTCTGTGGCAGTGGTCTGACTCTCAGAAGTCAGAACTCCAGTGAAAAGAAGCCGCTGGCAATGTTCTGCAATCGGAATGACGCTCTTCTGCAACAAGAAATCACTTGGGTGGTCCCGTGTTTGAACTACCTGCAATAGAGAATGATGAAGACAGTTCCCAGCCCAGGCTGTTCGCCAGAATTTGCAATATAGCGCTTCAGTAGATTTCGTCATTTTTGTACGGTTTGCTGGTTCACAAAGAGCAAGAAACTCACATGATTATGACGAATCATTGTTGTTAAGCATGTTGCAAGTTGCAATCAGGGCTGCGGAGTCGGAGTCGGTCGGAGTCGACAGTTGTGACCGGAGTCGGAGTCGGAGTCGGAGTCGATATTGGAAACCCCAGCCGGAGTCGGAGTCGGAGTCACCGAAAATCTGTCGACTCCGCAGCCCTGCCAGGTGTGCGGAGTCGGAGTCGGGAGTTGGAGTCGATCGGAGTCGACATTTCTGCCCGGAGTCGGAGTCGGAGTCGGAGTTGGTTTTTGAAAGCCGGAGTCGGAGTCGGAGTCGGAGTCGCCGTAAATCCATCGACTCCGCAGCCCTGGTTGCAATTGTGAAAAACGCACAAAATCACATACGAGGGCTAGCAGAATCATGGGGAAAACGTTAACCCGGCAGTTGCTGGGGTATTTCGCCACCCACCATTTGCTGGGGGGGGGGGCGTTAAACGCCCCCAGCCGATAACTCGAGAACCAATAGGCGCAGCGAAACGCACGAGGCGGCAAACGAAAGAGCGCGACGAGACGCTTCAGATGAGTACTTTAAAGTTGAATTTTGAGGTCACAGGTCGGGTCAAGGTCAGGTCAAACACCTGAAATCGGGCTTTCAGTAGCATGGACTTCAGGGCTTCGCAATGGGCGCCTCTCGTCATAAACTCTGTCAAAACGGTGCACAATCCATCATATAAGGCCTACAAGAGTGTCAGCTCCATGTAGGGGTCAGTCAAACATAGGTCAGGGTCAAGGTCAGGCACATATCCCCGAAAATCAAAACTGATATTTGCAACCTGTGACACATGTTGTATAGGTAATTTGGGGCGTAGAACACGATGGTGACATTCATTTTATCATATGTGTACGTGTTTGCCTCAAAAAGTTGAATTTAAGAAATGCATGTATCATGGTCGTGAAGTAGTCACGAAAAATTGCCAAGATTCAGTTCAA